AGGTCACGGCGTGTACGCGGCGTCAAAAGCGGCGGTGGAGACGATGGTGAAGATCTTAGCGAAAGAGCTGAAAGGGACGGGAATCACGGCGAACTGTGTGGCGCGCCGGGGCCAATCGCGACGGACATGTATTTTTCTGGAAGAGTGAAGAGCAAGTGAAGAAGGCTATAGAAGAATCTCCTCTGGGTAGGCTTGGTGAGACTAATGATGTGGCTCCTCTTGTGGGATTCTTGGCCTCTGATGCTGGTGAGTGGGTCAATGGTCAGGTTGTTCGTGTTAATGGTGGCTATGTTTGACAGAGAGAGGGAGAAGACATGGCCATTGTTATCGCTGAACCCTGGTCAAACGTATAGAAAAGCCCATCATCAATCCCCACCCAGGACAAGTAAAAAACCAGGCTCTTAATGAAAAGTTTTTATATGGATTCAAATACCTAGTCATTTATGGTTTATTGAATAAAATTGCACCAGTTTTTTGTGAAAGTGAAACACATTACATGTCACTCGTATTCATAGTAGCTAACCAATTTAAGAAGAGACTTGGGTTAAGTCTACCATCAAATATCGGATACTTCTACCCTAACCCTTCTTGCAGCATCATCATGATATTCATGTGGAAGGCTTCTCAGTTATGTCTAGAGGGTGATGCTCTATATGGGCTATGCTTTTCCTTTTTCAATTCTCCTTACTTGATAGTAGAGGAATATCTGACTTGTTAATTTTTTTAAATGTTTTTCTAACCCAATTTTAATTTTAATTTTAAAATTTATTATGGTGGTTATTATAAAAATAATAAATGTTTTAGGACAAAAATAGAGAAAATGACAAATAAATCATCAAAAAAACGAGAAAATTCTTTCGAAGTCTATACAAACTTGTCGACATAATTTTCTTTTTGATGAAATGACCATAATGTTTCAAAAGTAATTGACAACTTCAGAATAATGATCACCACTTGTATTAGATGAATGACTAAAATGGAATGATTATGTTCATTTTATAAGTATTGAATCTTGAAGTTAAATGACAATTAGAGAAATAAATGACTACTTTTTTTAATACAAATAACTAAAATAGTGTAGGAAATTACTACTTGTAAAAACTCAACTGAGAAAATGAAAGTAGTCCTTTCCTATACGTGTTTTTTAATTATTTGCATAATGAAAGTAATCATTTTTATTTTGAAATTGTCATTTACTTTTGGAGACAATATGATCATTTTGTGAAGAAAATTAACGTTACGTGTTAGGGACTTAAAAATAATTAGATGTTCTTCTTTTGTCATTTGCCTATTTAGATGGGATTAATTTGTTAGTAGTCTTCCTAAAAAATATAGAAACCTAAAAAATAAAAAATAAAAAATTGGTCTTAATCTTAAAGTTTAGAAATCAAGATAAAATACACTTTCAAAATTATTTTAAGATATTTTACATATTAAAATGAAAAGAATATAACAATACGCATCATTTTATTTTTTTAAGAAAATATCTGCAATAATGTCAGCAAATATAAATAAAATCTTTTAATGTTCACTATTTAAAATTTCCTGAATTTGAGAGCATATGAACGTTCATGATTTTACCATATGATAAATAATACTATTTGCTTTGTGTGAGTGGCTTCAATAATGTAATATTTGGGTGTTAAATATTGGATATTTTTTTTATTCCAAAAAAAAATTGGTGAAAAGGATTTTGTTTAGAATGGAAATTAGTCCCACAGACCAAATACAATTGAAGGATCAAAGTTAATATTTTATTATTAAACAATTTGAATAAATGATCGAAATGTCTCTCTCTTTAAACCAGTGAAATTGAAAAAAAAGGACTGTTTGTTTAACACATACAACCTAAATCAAAAACCTTACACCTCAAGCTAATAGCATTGTACCTCGAGCTAGAAGCCTTGCATCCAAGTGCAAGGCTTTTGACTAGGGTGAAAGACTTCTGACTTGGGATATATAAGTTAAACAAACAACTTTTATTTTTTTCTTCAATTTCATTGGTTTAAAGAGAAGGGTATTTCAATCATTTGTTTAAATTGTTTAATAAATAAAATATTAGTTTTGGTTCTTCAATTATATTTGCTCCTTGGAATTAATTTTCCTTCTAACGAGATTCTTTTCACCAATTTTTATTTTATTCTATCACCCACTATCTTGAAAATTCTGAGATATTATTATTTTTCGTCCAGGCAAATGGTTGAGTGTATGCAAAATTATACATTTATATTTCTCTAGCTACATTCATAATGTCACCCATAAACTAAAATCAAATCTAATTTAAAAATTGAGGAAAATTATAAACAACTGCAGATTAATTTTTCTGGTTATCATTAAGCCCATTGATGATAGTCTTATTCTTCGTAATTTAAAAAATATAATTTATAACTTATAAATTATATTTTTTAGTGTTAATATTTTTTTTTGGACAAAAAATGTTTCGGGGAATCAGATTTTTAAGACTTACCAGGATCAAAAGCCTGGGCACCTGAAAGGATTAAATACAGTTCTATATATTACATGCAATCTAAAAATTAAGTAGCAAGGTTTATTATTTATTATTATCATAATTTTTTTTATAATTTTTATATACTAATCATAATTTATATTATATTACAATAATTTAAAATTTTGAATAAATCATCCACGTCCTTCGTGCTGCAGAATTGACATGGAGTGACGACTCGCAACCTAGCGCCAAAGGATATTAAATTTGGAGACCACCGTTTCGCCTTCGCGCGAGGGAGAACAATGGAACACCGGCAAAGTACAGTATCTTCAGCGTATAAGCGACCATCTCTGAAATCCAATTCTCAATTCAACAAATCTCGCATCTGGAAAGACAAGGTTGTTTTCCTCACTTCCCTTTTTTCTGCGAAGATTATCACTCTACTTGTCTGATAATACGAATATCACTTCAATTTTGTTTTTCATTTAGTCAATTGGTATAAGTTCTTTTTATGTTTGATTCCCCTTCTGTAAGTTGTTTCGGTCATGTTTGGTGGTTTGATTTTCTATAACGATGAATTATATTGCAATTTATAGTTGAGGGAAAATTGCTACAAAAGGGTACGAGAGGGCCGGACTCGCTTACTCTGGAAAATGAGAATAGCTACTTCTCAGTCATGCAAGCAAAATCAAGAGGTTGTCTTTGCCACTTAACAATGCCTTATTTCTTTCTTTTTTTTTTAATTTGAAAAGGATTTATGTGCAGTTTAATGGACGTTAGCTTACGCAATTTCTTATCCTCAATTTACCTATGACAGCTGGTTGCTTCCTATATGAGTTGGATGATGTGATCTTATGTTGGTTTTGCTTTTGCTTATAACACCTTGCAGTTTGGTGATAGACTTTTTCTTTTTTGTAAGCTTATTTGGATATCTTGATTTTTAAGGATCTATTCTAGTTGGCTAAGTGATTCACTGTACTCGACATTTCCCTATAATTTATTTTTTTCTGACTAATTTATTTATTCCGAAAGAATGGGCTGTTATTGTGGGTGTAATGTTGACTGGAAAATATATAGCGGGAGCATCAATGCTAAGTTAAAGCCTCATGTCTGAACTAGAAAGATGACCTGTACTATGCTAAACAAAAATGTTATCGACCTTGAGCTGGTACTGATTCAAATTCTGCAGCCTGTAGACCTTGGTTTTACGCTGCAAACCATGTGCAAGGCTGAAATGCCATTTGCAAACATTTTAGATGATTACATGTATTCTTTTCAAATTTATAGTTCATTCAATTGTGCTTCTCTAGTTTAATGGAAGTTTAAATTCAGTCCCTTTGGTTCCATTTTAAATTTCTTCTGGTTTTCAAATAGATAAGATCAAAATGATTACATTTTGATGCACGATGTTGACATGGATTGATGTGATTCTATATTAGATGTAGAGTGCCATGTCAGTAAACTTTAGTGCCACATCATCAGAATATTTTTCATTGGACCATGGGTGACAGAATTTGCCGTTGACAATTAAAAAGTTCATTAATGATGAGGCTCAATTGGAAGGATTTTGAAACTAGGTGAAGGACTAGGGGAATTGAATTGAACATTCTAAAAGACTAGAAGAAGCAAAAGTGAATTTTAGTTTCAATATTAATTCTAGGTATACAGCAATGTTCCCATAGATCGAAAGACGTAGTTTAGAATAACTAGGGAGATATAGCCATTTGCCAACAATGTGTATGCTCAAACGGATTGATCCCTAGTGAAGTTAACACCTAAGAGATCTATTTGGCAATATCTCATGTTGGAAGCAATTGCTGATAATATGGTATTGTTGATAAAATTTGAAAATGTAACTGCTTTATTACTCAGACCTTCAACAGATCAGTTTATAAGACTTTGAGGGACTCTAGTTACATTCTTGTATCTTAGGATTATCCTAGATGTGGTTGCATTTAGCATCTTTTGACTATTTACCTGGTGGCAGGATATAATCAGATCTGCACTCCAGGATATTGTATCTGATGAACTTAAGAAAATGAAGGAATTGTCATTTTATAACCCATCTAAGAATCCAACTTCTGATTCTGAGCTTGACGACATCCTATGGGAATACGATGGTGTTCATACTACTTACCAGGGTGAATGTGAAGAGATGCTGCTCGAAATGCAAAGGATATTTTATGAGGATCTAAAAGCTGAACCAAATATAGAAGGTAAAATTATGCTACCTGTTTCAAACTATTTTTAGCTCTTCCAAAACTGTATCACAGTAGAACTAAACTATTACGTTAGGCTCTTGGGAACTATGCTATAATACAAGGTATAAAGGTGCAAGTGTTTCTTAAGAACCCAGTAGTGGTTTATTTATTATTTTTGTTTGTCTGTTCTGATTATATTCTAATCAGTATTTGGTTATCTGACTTTATCTATTAACCTGTCTATAGTCTAATCAGTATTTGTTTATGAGCCTATGTACTTTAATATCTTCTCATCATTTGATATCTCTTTAATATGCTTCACCCTCAATTATTTTACTGATAATGGAAAAGATTTTGAATTATCTTGTAATGAGAAATCCATTCTTTTCTTAATATCCTGTTACTTTGGATTCTGTTTCACTGGACAGTTGATAGAACCTTCAAATATTTGTGGGCAAGGTGACTTGGCAATATCTGAAAGACATTATTTAAGTTATGCATTTATTTACTTCTCTACACGCCTAAATAGGTTTTGTCCATTGATGTTGTCGTTTTGGTGACTAGTTCTGAGAAGATAAAGAGATGAACCATGTGAAAGAGCTGAGAGTTCTTAGGTGAACGAGAACAGGAAACACTCATTTAGAACACAGAGAGATCTATGAATGGAAGAAACATTTTGTTGGAAGCCTATTGCGGGAGTTCAAAAAAAAAAAAAAAAAAGGACATGCAACTGCCAGTTTGACTTAGCTGTTGTGATCGTCTTACTTCACTTATTTGTTTGAATTTCTTACTTGTCTCCTTGCAGCCATCGATTGCATAAGTGAAACATGGCAAGATGAAGAAGATGAGTTCTTGGCTTGTGCACTTTTTGAGCATATGCAACTAAATTCAGAGGAGGTAAATTTTTTACAAGCATGGCATTTTTATGCAAAAAAGTGCAGCATAAACATAGTTATTTGCATGAATTCATGTTAAACGTCATATATATATAGTGACAAATTTTCTGGTTGGTGACAATATTGGAAGTATGGGATTTTGATATGGGGCTTTATCTTGAGCTCTCCAACCTTCTAGCTTTGAGGCCTGATTCTTCCTGGTTGCCATCACAGGGTCTTCTTTGAAAGCTAGCATAAAGACAGCTTGCATGGGCAATGAGGGTGCTAAATATATGATGGGGCAAGAATCATCTTATTAGAACTTATTAAAAACATGGCTGCCTCATATCTCTTTTTGCCATGCTTTAGTTTATCATCCACATCATCTTTTAATCAATATTTTCACTGGCATCGCTATACTACAACTTCCCTGGAACCTGGATGCTGCATTTATGTTATGTTGCAAAAGTTGTCCATTTTGTAGCCTCTTCACACTCTTTTTTCTTTCAAACAGAATTGTTTTCCTTTCCCAAATTAATTTGCATGAAGACTTTCATTTTGATTATTAAAATTTGGAAATGATGATAGACACAAAGACAAGAGATCTGGTGCCCTATTTGCAAACAAGGAGAGCTTAAAGAGAATCGTGATCTTATATACTGCACCCGTTGTGAACTTCGACTAAGTAAAGCCAATGAGGTACTCACTTTTCCTTGCCTTGTCAAGAATGTTATACTCTACCATTTAAGAACTGATTCATTTATTTAATTATGGCTTATGAGCTTCTAATGACTTTCAGGATGTGGTTTTAGAATTATGAAGTCGTAGTCCCTATCAGTAAATCTAATGACGTTCAGGATGTGGATTTCATAAGTTTATTAGAGATTAATAGTGGATTTCATAAGTTTATTAGAGATTAATCTTCTGAGATTTATCTTTTCTTGCATAGCTATATAAGCTAGAATTGTGCAAAAGGTGTGTGGTAAGGTGTATTTAGATAAGTGTTAACTAAGCCTTAGTTTTGGAACCAAAACGTGTCTGGTGATATCAATGTCAGTGTTGATCCTTTGGAAGTATCTTGGTTTATGAGAGACATGTTATGGGTTCATTGTGAAAAAGGAGACGTCGAAGGTTGAGAAAAATAGAACGTAAAAAGGGGTTTTAAAGATAAAAAAATGGCCTTCGTGTTTCAACTTTTAAAATGTGTTAAAAGAAAAAAAAAAAGGCATTAGATATTAACAAGTGCAGAACAAATATAACGATATAATATATATTATAGGAAAAGGATAAAAACTAAAGGGACCTTAGTATTCTCTTCTACTGCATCTGTATGCTATAAATTATAATGGTTGATTACCATGATCTTTTTATATTCTTTCGTTGGAGATATTCCCTCACTTGGTGGTAATTTCTGTCTCTAATAATACATCTGCCTTTACTGTAACAAAACTAGTTATAATATTCTAATTATTAAAATTTCAGCTTACTTTGGACTTCTTGCGAGGTCGACTAGCTGATGCTTATACTGAGCATTTTAACAAAGGCTGCAGATTGAAGCCCAAATTTTGTCTGGAGACAAGATTTAATTTAACAGCATTGTATATTTCATGTGAAGGTTGTGATACATTTGAAATTGTAATTTAAAATTATTGTTGAAGTTTTTTTTTTAAAAATAATTTGGGTCTGTTTAGGTTTGGCTCAATGAGTTAATTGTAATTCTTCCTATTCCTATCCCCAAGAAGGATCCTAATCTCCCTAGTGTTTGAAAGTAGTTTGTAAGTTCTAATATGAAGATAGATTATAAAATTGTGGTTGGCTCTTTAAAAATTAAAAACCAGGAGAAATGAAAGGTAGGAAAATTATTTGAGCCTTATGGTAGCATTTGGTATAATATATAAAATTTTAAAAACCAAATTAATTGTTTCAAATAATAATAATAATAATAATATCCATTCATTTTACTTTTGTATATAATATATTGAAATATTGATTATTCTGTCAAGTTATCGCATCCGAATTACCCCATATGGATTGCAAAGTGTAGCCTTTGGAATCGTTGTAACTTTTTTGCTTTTGATAATTTTTACAGCCAAATAAGTGAATATATTTCGTTAAAAGAATTACTATGTAACTTTTAATGCTGTTTGAAAGCCATAAGAACTTTCATGCCCGAACTTGGCATTGAGCTATTTGTTACAAATGTTATATATATATATATATATATATATAATTTACAATTGATATTACCAATTCTATTTAGATTTATATTTATCCTGGATTCAAATTCATGCTTTTTTTTTTGGATAATACAAACTCTTGCTATTTTTGTTTTTGGTGAAAAACTCTTGCTATTTTACTTGTATTGTTGCTCTGTACGTTGCGTGTGTTTTTCATTAATTTCTTATCAAAACGCAAGCTATGGCTATGTTTATGCCAAACTCTCTTCGGCTGAAGTACTAGTTTCTTAGATTTCCCCCCTCTTTTAGAAAGGTAAATAATAGTTGGCAGAATAGCATTTAAATCTCAAAATATTGATTTAATGATAATGATAATGATAGAGTTTTAAAAAAATTTCTGAAATATAAATTACAAATATTGATTCAAATTATTACAAACAAGATCTCAATCATAAATTAAAATTTACATATGAAACTTGAATACTTTATCCGCAATTAAGATGCTTAAACTTACAATTATTTAGATTGATATTTATAATTTATTTTTTTAAAAAAATTTCATAAGAAACTATTATTCAATCAATCTTTTTCACAATTTCTTTGAATCCCATTTATATTAGTGTCACATCATGGACATGGTACTTTCTTTTCGCGCCAGCTGCAAATCCAGTTTTGCATTCGATAGAGCTCGGAGCCCGGTAGTATAAATTATAAAAATTATTTATCTCTATTTCCGCCGAAATCATATTATCATGTGTTTTACTGCCTAAACTTTTATTTCTCTCTATTTTATTTTCTTGGATTAAAATATAATTTTGCTCTTAAATTATTTTTAGTAAAATAATGTTGCTCCTAAATTATTTATCGTAACAATGTTATTCATAAACTAATTAAATAAGAGCAATGTCATCTACACTGTTTAAACATTCATTGTTATAGTTAGTGAGATTTAATTTTCATAAGTTAAGGTGTAATTTTGTTCCTAAACTATTCTTAAAATAATAATGTTACCCTTACCATTTAAAAATCATAAAATTAAATAAAAATAAATTATAATAATATTAAATTTATATATAAATATAAAATTATAATAATATTAAATAAAAATAATATTAAATATATATATAAAATAAATATAAAAAAATTTATAATATGGTAATAAAATGTCATAAATTAATAATATTATGATTTAAAATTTTATAATAAGAGTGGATTTTAGTTACATTAAATATTGGTATGTTCAAAAATATTTATATTTATATTTATAATTATCTCAGCCCACAAACCCATTAGAAAATCACTGACTCTCTCATGGGACGCCGCCGACCTTCAAGATTTTTACGTCGTCCTCCTGGATGACTCCGCCGTCTGCAACATGGCGTTTCATGTCCTCTAAGTAAGTTTTTGTGACTTGTATTTAATTATTCATTAATTAACTCTTATTGTTTTGTTTCTTTTTAATTGTTCGCTAGCCGTCATTTGATTAAAATGCAGGAAGAGAGGCGTGAAGGAAAACCCAACGCTAAAATGGAGGTGGTCGGAAAAGTTTCAATGGACTTGACAATGGCGGAATTGCTTGATAAAGAATTTATATTTTTTCTTATATTTATTTTATATATACATTTAAAATTATTTTTATTTAATATTATTGTAATTTTATATTATATATACATTTAATATTATTATAATTTTATTTTTATTTAATTTTATGATTTTTAAATTGTGAAAGTAACATTGCTTTTCTGAGAATAATTTAAAAGCAAAATTACATCTCAATTCATAAAATATGAGTCACACTAGTTATAGTAACGTATGTTTAAATAATAAGAATAATATTGCTTCAATTTAATTAGTTTAGAAAAAATATTACTACGATGAATAGTTTCGTAATAACATTACTTTTTTGAGAATATTTTAAAAGCAAAAATGTATCTTAATCCTATATTTTCTGAAAGTGTTTATGATTCTTTTAGATAAACTAATGAGCTCGCCAGCAAATATATTAATTCAGATTTCTGTGGTAAATTGGTCCCAAGAGCCCTCCAATGTTAGCGTAGATTTCGCACCTAAAAGGTCTCTTTTAAAAATATTTATAAATTACCCTTTGTAAAGCATATAACCAAATAATTACCAACTGACTTGTAATTTTGTAGTACTAAAAGAAATTGAATACTATTATAAGATTTTTCAAAAAAATAAATAGCTATTGTCTATGTCTTGAGCTCTAAATGAAATCAATTATTATTGTAACAAGTGTTCTTAATATAAATGCTGTGTTAAACTCAGGCTGGCAATAAAGGAAAAAAGCAGACTCCGAACAAGAAAATGAACTCCAAGAGCTTGAGGGAGGGAGGGAATGAGATTCATAAGGCAAAGAATTCTAACTCTTATAACTACGAACTGAAAAGGCATAAAGTTACAATTTAGAATAATATACTAACAAGCTACATGACGCAAAAATATTACAGGCTGAATCAAAACCATCAAATAATACTCTACATTAACTTGCTAAACAAGCCTTCAGGAACGAGAAAATTGACCTTCAAGAAACTCAGAGCAATGTTGCAGAATTCAACACTCAAATCTGCCTTAAAACCTTCTCAGCAGCTGCTATAGTCTTTTTTATGTCATCAGAGGTATGTGCCAAGCTGGTGAACCCAGCCTCAAATTGTGATGGTGCCAAATATACACCTTCTTCCAACATTCCCCAATAGAACCTAGCAAACTTAGCCGTGTCACTCTTTTTGGCATCGGCAAAATTGTAGACTGGTCCTTCGGTGAAGAAGAACCCAAACATGCCCCTTATATGGCCGCCACATATTGCATGACCTGCTCTCTTCCCAGCTTCAATGATACCTTGAATTAGTTCACCTGTTATTTTATCCAAATACTCATAGGTTCCTGGCTCCTTAATGCGCTTCAGAGTCTGTATGCCCGCAGTCATGGCCAAAGGATTGCCACTCAAGGTTCCAGCCTGGTACATAGGTCCTGCCGGTGCCACCATCTCCATAATATCTCTCCTCCCTCCATATGCACCTACTGGCAGACCGCCACCAATGATTTTTCCTAGAGTTGTTAAGTCAGGAGTAATGCCAAAATATTCTTGAGCTCCACCATAAGACAAACGGAATCCGGTCATAACTTCATCAAAGACTAGGAGGCTATCGTTTTCCTTTGTGATTTTGCGTAAGAAATTAAGGAAGTCAGGTCTGGGAGCAACAAAACCAGAGTTTCCAACCACAGGTTCAAGGATGACTGCTGCTATCTCTCCTTTGTTTGACTCAAAGAGCTTCTCAACGGCTGATGAGTCGTTGAATGGTGCTGTAAGGGTTTCAAAAGTGGCTGCTCTTGGAACACCAGGGGAGTCAGGAAGTCCTAAGGTGGCAACTCCACTACCAGCCTTAACAAGAAAAGGATCGGCATGACCATGGTAACAGCCCTCAAACTTGATGAGCTTCTCCCTGCCAGTAAAAGCACGGGCCAGGCGGAGGACTCCCATGCATGCTTCAGTGCCTGAGTTAACAAATCGAACCATTTCAATGCTTGGAACTGCATCGATAACCATCTCTGCCAGAGTGTTTTCCAGAAGACAAGGTGCGCCAAAGCTGGTTCCCTTTTTCATTGTCTCAGCTAGAGCTGCAAGCACCTGAAATGCATATAAAGCACAAAACTTTACCATGAAGCAAAGTCCAGAACGTATTAAGTTGCAATGTCAAGATATCTCAGAGTAATCTCAGACATAGTGAATTGGCAATGTTTTCAAATCTTAGTTTTCTATGAGATCATCATAAGAAACTAAATAAAATATTTCTCAAGTTTGGTGTATCCACAGGACAAAACAAAATCAACAGTAACAAGTATGATTTTGCAGGGAGAATAAACAAAGTCAGTTAAACATATCAGAGTAACAGCAAAACTATATTGGGAAAGAACATAACCCCATCATCAGCATGACCAATTATTGCAGGCCCCCAGGAACCCACATAGTCAATGTACTCGTTGCCATCTATGTCCCACATGCGAGAACCCTTGACAGAATCAATCAGAATTGGCTGTCCACCAACAGATTTAAAGGCACGAACTGGAGAATTGACACCTCCAGGCATTAATTCCTATAACAAACAAAAAAGAAGATTTGAATTAATCAGTTACCACTGTTCAACCACAAATAGTCAGCAAAAAGAACGAAAACAAGTCATCATTGGAATTACAAGATATCAATTTTCAAGTTTCTAAATTCTATATTTTGTCCATTTCATTTGTTCACATTTCAGACAATGAAAATAAAGCATGTCAGAGCAATCTGAAACAGGGTGCAAAAACGCTATATAGCATCTCTAATTACAGGTAAATGTAAGTGTAAGCAAACATCTGCAGAAAATGGCCCACAAGACAACAACACTGAACGGCGACATGCTAAATATTAGGTGAAAATTAACAAACTTATGGCTAATCAATTGAATATTTCACCAAAAAAATCCCAATCGAAAAGGCGAATTTCAAAACTTTCAAAATATCAAAGGAGAAAAAAGCCCATTGCAAGGAAATCAATCAATCACTAAGAAAAAGTATGGATTGGATCGACAGTACCTTAGCGGCAGCGAAAGCTTCTTCTGACTTTCGAAGGGAGAGGT